GAGGAGCGGCAGACATTGGGGAGAGGTCGTCACCCCGAGGAGCGGCAGACATTGGGGAGAGGTCGTCACACTGAGGAGCGGCAGACATTGGGGAGAGGTTGTCACCCCGAGGAGCGGGAGACACTGGTGAGAGGTCGTCACCCCGAGGAGCGGCAGACATTGGGGAGAGGTCGTCACCCCGAGGAGCGGCAGACATTAGTGACAGCTCGTCAATCTGAGGAGCGGCAGACATTGGGGAGAGGTTGTCGCCCCGAGGAGCGGCAGACATTGGGGAGAGGTCGTCACACTGAGGAGCGGCAGACATTGGGGAGAGGTTGTCACCCCGAGGAGCGGTGAACATTGGGGAGAGGTCGTCACCCCGAGGAGGAGCAGACATTGGGGAGAGGTTGTCACCCTGAGAAGGGGAAGACATTGGGGAGAGGTTGTCACCCCGAGGAGCAGCAGACATTAGGGAGAGGTTGTCACCCCGAGGAGCAGCAGACATTGGGGATAGGTCGTCACCCTGAGGAGCGGCAGACATTGGGGAGAGGTTGTCACCCTGAGAAGCGGCAGACATTAGTGAGAGGTTGTCACCCGGAGGAGCAGAAGACATTAGTGACAGCTCGTCGCCCTGAGGAGCGGCAGACATTGGGGAGAGGTTGTCACCCCGAGGAGCGGTGAACATTGAGGAGTGGTCATCACCCCGAGGAGCGGCAGACATTGAGGAGTGGTCATCACCCCGAGGAGCGGCAGACATTGAGGAGTGGTCATCACCCCGAGGAGCGGCAGACATTGGGGAGAGGTCGTCACCCCGAGGAGCGGCAGACAATTCTGTTTATGGAGAAATTGTTTCAATGACTTTGTATTTAAAGGCACAGTCCGCCTTTTGCCAAATTGTTATAAATGCCCCAAATTTTTTAAATAAAAACAAATGGGTATTTTTTCCATTTTTTTGCAATAAAGCCTGCAGAGCATTGCAACCGGGATGAGTGCATCGGGGGTGCAACGTGCAGGCTTCTACATTGATTGCCCGCAGGAGGTTGATAGAATAACTCCTCCCAAGACCTTGCCCACTGCTTGCATCAGGACTGAGGTCTCTTGAGAAAATGACTGAGGCTGAGGTGGATGTTTTTGGGAAGCTATGTACAGCACCCTGCCGGCCCCTCCCCCCAGCCATGATCTGCCTGCATTGCATAGAGAAGCCCAGAGACCCCAGTGATAGTTTTTAGTGCCAGAACTTTTCTGGCTTTACATGTAACTAAAACCTCCATCCTTCAGTTGGGATCTTTTTTTTTTTTTTTGCTGGCTGCGGCGGGGAACTTTCCTGTTCCTCGGCACGGATTCCCCGTCTCCTCCCAGCGGCCAGCGCGCGTCTGTTTCAGCGCCGCACATCATTTCGAATACAAGACGTCATCTCCCCCCCGAGCGCTCTCATCTTGTCATGTTATCGATTGGATGTGAACGCATGGCTGATAGCCGCGCTGCTTATTGACGGTCCCCGGGGAGGCGCAGGCCTGTCACGCAGCTCGTTATATCCCCGCGCAGAACGGACCAGCGCCGCCCCCCCCCCCCCGGGCAAATTTCCCCCACCCCCCCAGATAAAATAAAGGGGAGGAGCCGAGCTGATGTGAGCAATGACTGCGTGCGCGGCAAA